TTATTCAAATTTAATTCAAACCATATAATATTTATAATAAAGCATAAAACTCAAAACAAAATCCTTGGTTTAATGAAATCGTTACAATGTTTTAACGGTTTTTAAAAAGAGAATAAAAACAAATCCTTCTTACAGGTAATTTAATTCTGGCACGAATATTTGATCCGATGCATTTTAATTTTGTATGATAAGCATGATAGTTTACATGCCTAGAAATCTCATCGGGATCATTACTTTCGTATAAACAACCGTTCCACTGACATACGTAAACATTAATGCCTTTTTCATTGGTCCGCGTACTTAAGTCAGACACATGTCCACCCGCGTGGTTTACAAATCTCTCAACATGATTGGCTTTGTATTTACAATTGATCCATTCGCAGGAAAGATGATAAACTTCTCGTTTTAACGGTAGAACAACTCTTCTTCTTTTTGTACCACATTCTGATACGGAATCAAATTCGGAATCAGTATTATAACTATCATCATCATCTGTTTGTTTTCTTTTACACTGTGTTTCATCCGCATACGTAAAATTTTTTTGCGATTCTACCCAATCATTACAGCGTTCTTGCACATCTTTACTAGTTATTAGTTTTTTCGCAAATTCTGCCATTTTGTTAATTTATTTTAACAACATTTATATATTTCTTTTTTGTTATATCAAATTGTTAATACTTAGAAACTTCACTTAATTAAATAAAATGTCAAAATTTGCTTTGAATTGAAAATATTAATAAATATTCAGCTAATCAGCTTCCACTTTATGTCCTTCTCATCAATGTTCATGCTTAACATTTGCATTTAAATACCTAACCTGATTCTAACCTAGGTGCAACAAGTGAAGAACTAAAACGTTGTATTATATTAAAAAATATTATTAGTGTTTTTATATTAAAGACTTAAAATGTTACGAACATTTTTAAATAAACAGATATGGAAGTTAGCTACTACATCGAAGGGAACGACGCACACAGTTTTTAATCCACTGATTTCACTACAAAGACTCTTCAATGAACACAAAAGATCCTCCACAATTTATGCACTTTCTTCTGGTTATTACATTTTCTTCTACGTCTTTTGCGTTTTTTATATTTTTGCAAAACTACTTGAAATATATAATTTTACCTTGAAAGCTACAGCAATACTACCTTCTATAACAAGACATTTCACGTTCCGCCAATTTTAACTGCGCATGCGTTTCGCGATTATATATTCAAAACATGACAAAATTTGTTTTGTTTAAATTTATAAAAACAAAAGTAAAAATTCTTATTAAATATTTTTATGCAATTTAAAAAAAATTATTTTAACATTAATTAGATATAATACAAATACTTTTTATATGTAAGGATATGGTAAATGTGGAGTAGCAGTTATTCGAATATCTGGTCCAGAAGCATCAATAGCTTTAAAAAAAATGACAAAAATATCTAATTTAAAACCTAGAATAGCTCTTTTAAGAAAAATTCATGATCCTGAGACAAAGGATGTTTTAGACAAAGGACTCTGCCTTTGGTTTCCAGGTGCTGTGAGAATTCAATTTAAAAAAATATTTATAAAATTTATACATGAAATGAATTATACATAACAATTACAATACATAACAAGTGTACATTGATCCTTAGTCATAATATTCAAAGGATCTAGTAAAAATGAAATTACATATATTTAATGAAAAATAATGAATTTTAGGACCTAATTCATTTACTGGAGAGGATTCTGTAGAATTTCATGCACATGGTGGTCCTGCAGTAATAACATCAATTCTCAGTGCACTTGTAAAGTTACATTTTCAACTTGCACCACCTGGAGAATTCACAAAGAGAGCTTTTTTAAATGGAAAATTGGATTTAACTGAAGCAGAAGGTATAGGAGATTTAATTGATGCAGAAACTGAGAAACAACGCAAGCAGGTATAAGGAAACTAATGTGATACATGACTTTATTGGTTGAAAACATGAATCATGCTTATTTTAAGTAGTTAAATATTATGATTACTGTAAATTACGAAATTTCTTCTAAAAACTTCACAGGCTTCTAATCAAGCTAGTGGTTCTCTCCATCGTCTCTATGATACTTGGCGTATAACTTTCTTAAACATTCTTGCTAATTTGGAAGCATATATTGAGTTTTCTGAGGAGCACAATCTAGAATCTAATGTCTTAGAAAATATTAGAACTATTGTGCAGAAATTATCAATAGAAATTGAACAACATCTCTCTGATGGAAGGAAGGGAGAAATTTTACGTACTGGAGTACGTGTAACAATCCTGGGAGAACCTAATGTAGGAAAAAGTAGTCTTTTAAATCTTCTTTCTCAAAGAGATGCAGCTATTGTCACATCTTCTCCAGGAACAACAAGAGATATTATAGAGTTAACAACAAATATTTGTGGATATCCAATGATTCTTGCAGATACTGCAGGAATTAGACATGATCCAGAAAATGAAATAGAAGCAGAAGGCATTAGAAGAGCAAAAGAATATTCAAAAAAAGCAGATTTTATTGTGTATGTAATTAATGCAGAAAGTAGTTTTAAAAGTACTGTAAAAGAGTATTTAGAACGTTATAAAAACTTTCTGAAGGTAGATAAAGAAAGAGTTCTTATAGTACTAAATAAAATAGATTTGCTTAAAGAAGAAGAAAAAACAAAGTGGAGAAAGCAAAATGTTGTTCCTATTTCGTGTAAGACACAAGAAGGTTTACAGGAAATTACAAATGCATTAGGACAATGTTTTGAAAAAATGTGAGTATTTCACTCAAAAAATTAAAACTCATGTAATATTAAATATAATATATAAACAATTGAAAGCACAGTATTTTTGTTAAATAACAATATTTAATTTATTAAGTTAATGTCATTTCTTAATTGTAGATGTGGTGATCCTTCTGAAGAAAATCCTGTAATCAGTCATGCACGATATAGAAGTCATTTATTGCATGTTCTAGAGTATCTTCAAGAATATTTAAAGAAAACTGAAGTACCAAATTATGATATGGCTATATCTTTACAGGAAATTAGAGGTGCAGCAAGAGAGCTTGGAAAAATAACTGGTTCTATTAGTAAT